AAAAAGTGTTTTATGGAAACACAATGAAAAAATGATTTTCTCGCACAATCAGAGCAGTTTTACAGATTCTTATCAATACAAATGTGCCAGAACTGCCAATCTAATCCAGTAGAATTCTCCAATTTCTTATAACCATTTTGTATTGATACAACTATCGTCCAAAGCAGGCGGGAGGAGCAGATGTTGAAAAAATACCTTGAAAAATCGGTTGAGATCGCCGGTGCCGTAAAGGTGCGATATTGTGCACCGATAATTTGCGCTCCCCTTTACTGCCTGTGGAATGACGTGTGCTTAATTCCACATCTAAAATACAATCACTAGATCAATCCTTCGCGAAAAAAGAATTGTGCTTCTTCAGATATTCAAAAAACTTCGAAAAATATTCAATCCGGGAAAAATCCGAAGAAAAATGCTTGAGCAGAATCATAGTAACAAAAATGCAACAAAGCCAAACCCTCCTCCATAATTAATCAATAAAGACCGAGGAATTAAAAAATAGCCGAGCAGCAACCACCTGTTGGCTCAAAAACCTGGGTCTTTATTGATTAATTATGGAGGAGGGTTCCTTGGTCCTCTCCCGCAGTGATTTTGACTTTCCGGTAAATGGGAGCACTAATTTAGCACCGAAAGGGGGATTGGTTGTTCCACTAGTCAAGTCCAGCTCACGACTCACAACCATGAAAATAATGCTAGCTACTATCGCGCCACACCAGCTAACCAAAAAATAAGAAAAAATTGCAGTTTGCAGATCTTTAATAAATTCTTAAAAAACAAGAGTCGGTCACTCAGTGCGATTTCGAATATAATTCACCTGGAACAGCGTGGAGGACCGGCACTAGCTGAACTGGCGGACCTGGGCCGCCAGATTTCTTCCAGGTGAACAAGGATCTACAGAAACGAATGTGAAGAGCACCGGCAGAGCCGCTAAAATGGCGTTGGTTGCAGCAACCGAAAGTTGCTCGCTGAGCTGGCAAAGGGGATGTGGACAGCGCTTTGACAAAACGACAGCTAATTCGAGTACCGGAACAAGTAGATACTGCTCCAATAATAAGCTGTTTCAACTATACAAGATTTTCGCAAAAATACATGAAAAAAAGTCTCACCAGCAGAGAGTTTGCGAGAAAAAACAGTAAGTTTTGCAGCTTCAATATTCTCACCGCTGTGAACTCGCCGCGCTGTACCTGCAGCCGAACCTTCCCATTCATCGTTACTGCAAAAAAAAAGGGAATCTTTTCACTATGCAGCTCTTCGATATCTTTTTAACGAAAATTAGAGAAAAAATTGCAGCAAATAAATCTGATGTACAGTACTTTGAAATTCTTTTGTGAAAGCGGGATAATTCAATAACTCACTTTGAGAAGTTTCTGAACTAGGAGAACTCATATACAAATAGCCACCATTACACAGCTACCTAAGCAAAAATCGACAGTTCAAAAACTCATTCTACGTCACACGCATTGACAGGATGAGGCACTCGAAAATTAGCAATCACTAAGGGCATGACTCGCATAAAGGGTCTTTTTTCGAATATTGCTTATGGAAGAATTAATGTCAGTTTTGATTTGCTTGAAAAGATTGCCACTAAGTTATCGTCGGAACAAATGTAAATTAATTGAAAATTGATTTTCTTACTAAAATGATGCTGCCCAAAGGGAGTAAAAAGATAATTCCAAAGTTGGCGTATACGCATTGGAAAAAAGGCAGATTCATGAGCTGAAAATACAAAGAGGACATACTCATGGGAAGCGGTGTCTTCTTCGGCGCTAACAGCATCATTGCTTGCGGTATCATCACCAGCACCTTCAAGCTCCTTGAATTCGCCCATTTCTACGTCTCCATCTAATTCCAAAGTTTCCACAAACGGATCAGCTGAATACTGCCAAGTATTTAATCCGTGCACCGTTTTCATATTTCCTTTCATCATCAGCCTTTTTTTTTT